ATCGTGCAAATACTGCGTAGTTCAGGTGTAGTTCAGGCGTTGTTCAAAAGTAACTCAAGCACGGTGCCGTCATGGAATGCAGCAGCATGGCTGATCGCGCCTACTGCGGGTGTAATTCAAATGTAGTTCAAATCTCGTTTACGTGTAGTTTCGGCGTGGCCCATGTGCATTGCACATGTAATTCAAGAGCTGTACGGTCTTAGAACGCGGCAGCACGGCTGATCACTCCAATTGCGGGCGTAATCCAACCGAGGTTCAAATGTAACTCCAATACAGTTCAGGTGTAGTTCAGCTGGAATGAAAGTTTTGATCAAGTGTATTTCAGGTGTAATTCCAATGTAACGCGAGCGCCGTGCCGCCTTGGAACGCAGCGGCACGGCTGACCACTCCCCTTCCGGGTGAAGTTCAACTGTGAGTAAAGTACAACCCAAGTTCAGTTCAAATGCAGTTCATCTGTAATTCAGGTGGATTGCAGGTGCGATTCAAAAGTGGTTCATGTGTAGCTCAAGCACTGTGCCGTCTCGGAACGCAGCAGCATGCCTGCTCAATCCCCTTGCGTGTGCAGTCCAAGTGTAGTTCACATGTAGTTCAAGTGTAGTTCCAGTCCTCTGCAAGTGTAGTTCAGGTGTAGTTCGCGAGCTGAGATTGCATTGGGGGCACTATCCAAGTGCAGGTCAAAGGTCGCTCGAATGCAATCCAAGCGCGGTTGTGATATAGCACGTAGCAGCATGCTAGATGACTCCCCTTGCGGTGTAATCCAAGTGTAGTTCAGGTCTAATGCAAGCGTGGTTGGGATATGGTTCAGCTGTAGGTCAGGTGGAGGCACGGTGTAGTTCAAGTGTAATTCGGGCGCGGCTCAAGCACGGCACAGTCCTAGAACGCAGAAGCATTGCCGCCCAATCCCAGCGAGGGTGTAGCTTAACTGTAGTGCAAGCGTAGTTCAAGTATAGTCCAAGTGCAGTTCAGCCGTAGCTCACATGTAGTTCAGGCGTAGTTCAAGTGTAATACGCCTCGTGGCTCAAACACTGTACCGCCCTGAAAAGAAGCGGCGAGTCTACGTGCCCCTGTTGCGGGGGTAGTGCAACATGAGCCCAAGCGTAGTTCAAGCGCAGCTCTATGTAGGTTAAGCTAGATTCAGCTAGGTCAAGCACAGCAGCGCCTTGGGGAAAGCGGTCACACAACTGATCCTTCTCAGGGCGGGTGTGCGTCAAGTGCACTGCAAGTGTAGCCGAAGTATAACCCGACTGTAGTTCAAATTTAATTCAAATGCAGCTAGCTGTAAATCAAGCGCGCTTCAAATGCACTTCGGGTGAAGATCTAGCGCTGCGCCATCCTAGAGCGCAGCAGCACGGCTGCTCAGCCCCATTGCGGCCGCAGTTCATGCGCGCAGCAAATATGGTTCAAGTGTAGTTGAAGTGCGGCTCACGTCTAGAGCGCGCGCAGGTGACAAGCGCGCCTTCAGCACAGAACCGTGTTGGAAAGCTGCAGCATGGATGCTCGCCCCCATTGAGGGCGTAATTCAACTTCAGCTCAATACAGGTCAACTGTAGCTCGCACGCGGTGCAGGTGTGTCTCGGGTGCAATTCCGGTGCAGTTCAAGCCTAGATCAAGCGCTGTACCGTCTGGCAAAGCAGCAGCATGGCTGACCGCTCCCATCGACGGTGCAATTCGCGCGTAGTCCAAGTGTGATTCCAGGCCAGTGCAAGTGCAGTTCAGGCGAAACCCAGGTCTAATTCAGGCGCAGTTCAAATGTAGTCCGGGCGAAGCCCACGCGCTTTACTGGCATGAAACGCAGCAGCATGGCGGATCACTCCCTGTGCGTGCGCTGTTCACGTGTAGTCCAAAGGTAGTTCAAGAAACGCAAGTGTAGGTCAAACGTTGTTCAGGTGTGATAGCTCGGGCTCAGGCGAAGCGCAGCTCGAGCGCTGCGGCGTCTTGGAGCGCAGCAGCAAGGCTGATCTCTCAGATTGGAGGGGGAGGGGGGTCAAGTGTGGTTCAAGGGTGATTCAAACATGGCCCAAGAGTGGCATATGTGGAGTTCAAATGTAATTCGCATGTAATGCAGGCGTAGCGCGCCGTCTTGGAACGCAGCGACTTGGCAGAATACGCCCGTTGCGGGCAAAACTCAAGTATGACCAACGGGCAGGTAGGGTGTAGTTCAGGTGTCTCCTTGAATTTAGTTGAAGACTAGCTCGGAGGCTGTGGCGTCTTTCAATGCAGCAGCATGCTGCATCACTCCGAGTGCGGGTGTACTCAAGTATCTTTCAAGTGTAGTTCAGGTGTAGTTCAAGTGTAAGTCAAAGCGCAGTCCTGGTATAGTCCAAATGTAGCTCACGCGCTGTACCGTCATTGAGCGTGGCAGCGTGGCTGATAGTTCCCAGTGGGGTAAAGCCTCCAAGTGTGATTCGCAGGTAATTGAAGTGAACTCCAGGTGTAGTTCAAGTGCAATTGAAGCGCTGCGCCGTCATGGAGTGCAGCAGCATGGCTGATCAGTCCCAGT